AATTCTCTGACACAAGCTAGGTGTCTGCAACTTTGCTCAGTTCTTACACTATTTACATGGAGTTGGCTCAGTTCCAAAAGACTGCCCACACTTCACATTCCAGCCACAAATGGGGTGCGCAGGCCACCCACATTGACCAGCCAACTACAGATTCAGGGGTTTCCATGACTTCCCTTGGGTTCATTAATTTGCTTGAATGAGAACTTTTTTAGAATTTGCTCTCAGAACTCAGGGAAACTCCTTACGTTTACTGGTTTATTATTAAGAATACAAATGGACAGCCAGATGAAGAGGTGCTTAATCATGGTTGGTCTTTCTGGTGACCAGCTCCCTCATGAAGCTGTCTAGGCTCTGCCCCCCACCATGCCTAATTAGCATAAACTCAGATGAGGTCCAGAGGGACTCCTTTGAATAACAAAAGATACTCCTATTAGGAAATTCTAAAGTTTTAGGCGCTCCCTGAACTGGATACAAGGACCAGATATGTGTCTGATGACCAAAAATGTCCTCATCCTCTGGAGAGGTTTTTCTTCACACTTAGAATTTAATTGTATATGTGTGTACTTATTTCCCTTTTTAAAATTTTTCAGAGAAGAAAGTAGCTTTTCTGTCAGGTTGAAGGTACTAGAGCAGCACAATCATGACTGATAGGAATTGCTGTCTTGCTCCTGAAAAATTGTGACAGTGTTTCTGTCACATCCTTGTCAGTAGCTTGGTGGGTGGGTGGTGGTGCCCTTGTGGAGGTGTGGCTCCAGAGTTCCAGCTGTGGGGGCAGGATGCCAAGGTTGGCTGGGCAGGCCCTGGTTCTTTGGGAGCTCTCGCTATGCACTACTGTCCTTGAGGTACAGTGGCACAAAGTCCACATGCAATGGTGGTGTGGATATAGAATATCCAGAATTCTAGAATTGCCATGGAAGCAGAGGCTCAGGGCATAGCATGTTTGGTGTTGATTAACAGATGAGCAGAACTGGTACTGAGCCTTTTCACAAGACCTGGGGTGATTTCTTCTTAGTATTTTATAGCTTTTTAGGTAACTGTGGGTTGTGGTTGGTTCATGCTTGTTCTAGAATTTAGGCATTAGTGACTTGGTTTTTTTTGGTTCCCTTCCCCCGCCCCCGACCAATTTAGGTTTTAATAGAGAGTTCGGGGCACTTAAGTGGCTCGATTGGTTAAGTGTCCGACTCTTAATTTTGGCTCAGGTCATGAGATTGAGCCCTCCATCAGGCTCAATACTGATAGTGTGGAGCCTGCTTGGGATTCTCTCTCTCCCTCTCCCTGTGTCCCTCCCCTGCTCGTGTGTGTTCACAGTTGCTCACTTTCTCAAAAAATTTAAAAAAATTATAGAGTGGTAAATGCACTTTTTGGTACACTTCTGTGAATTTTGAAACGTGTAGTTTTGTCATGTAACCAACAGCACAATCAAGACATTTTCAAATGTTCTCCCCCTCCCAGTTTTCTTAAACTGCCCCTTGTGCCCCTTTGTAGTCAAAACTTTCTTTTTACCCTGGTAGTCACTGAGCTATCTCTGTAGGTTAGCCAATTCCCAAATGTCTTATCAGTGGAGTCACAGGGGAGGTAGCCTTAGAACCAAGCTCCAACTCAGTGATGCACTTGAGAATCATTTGTGTTGGTGCTGGTGTCGATGGTTGGGTAATTTTTGCTGCTGAGTGTGCCTATTGCAGGGCAGTGCCTAGTATGTTCTTCTCACTTGAGGGGTGTTGAGTGCATTTCCATTTTTGGATGATTAGTATTTGGCTGCTGTGAGGCTCTCCGGTTTTCCACGTGAGTGTAGCTAAGCACCCAAGATGGCCTTGCTGGGCTGTATGATAAATATATGTCCAACTGGGTGCCTTTGCATGTCTGTCGAGCCAGATGAGCATGTGTGTGGGGGTCTATCTCTGTACTCTGTCTCCTTGATCTGTGTGACCTTTCACCAATGCCATACCTTCTTGATGACATGAATTCTTGGAATCCGTGCGAACCCTCAAACTTTGTTCTTTTTCAAAAGCACTTTTTGGTTACTCCAGCTGCTTTTCCCTTCCGTATAGAAACAGTATGTTAGTACAAAAAGTTCTGTTGAGATTTTGATTGGAATTGTGTTACATCTGTAGATAAATTTGGAGAGAATGGACTTCCTAACAGTATTGAGTCTTTCAGTTCACAAACCCAGTGTATCTCTCCATTTATTGAAGTCTTTGATGTCTTTTATTAGTGTTTGGTCATTTTTAGTATGCAGATCTTTCACATGTTTTACTAGATTTGGACTTGAGTATTTCACATGTGTTTTGGAGCTGTTGTGAGTAGCACTTTAGTTTCAGTTCTGTTGATTGCTAGTGTATAGCAATCTCATTTACTGTCGTATATTGATCGTATGTCTTGTGGCTTTGCTGAACTGCTTTATTAGTTCCAGTAGTTTTTCTGTAGATTTCTTTGGGATTTCTGTGTACAGACCAGGTTGACTGTGATGGTCTAGATGCCTTTTGTTTCTTTTTCTTGCCTTACTACTCTGACTAGAAGCTCCATTACATGTTGAGTAGCAGTGGGAAGAGTGGACATCCTTGTCTTGTTCCTGATCTTGGGGTGAAGCATACAGTCTCTGACCATTAAATATGATGTTAGGTGTTAGTTGTTTGTTGATGCCCTCTATCAGGTTGAGGAAGGATTCTTCTATTCCTTACCAATTGATATTACAGACTTTTTCCTCCTTAATTTGTTGATATAATGTATTATGTTGATTGATTTTTTTTTTTAATTTATTTTTTCAACGTTTATTTATTTTTAAGACAGAGAGAGACAGCATGAACGGGGGAGGGGCAGAGAGAGAGGGAGACACAGAATCGGAAGCAGGCTCCAGGCTCTGAGCCATCAGCCCAGAGCCTGACGCGGGGCTCGAACTCATGGACCGTGAGATCGTGACCTGGCTGAAGTCGGACGCTTAACCGACTGCGCCACCCAGGCGCCCCGATTTTTTTTTTTTTTTTTTTTTTTTTTTTTTTTTTTTTTTTTTTTTTTTTTTTTTAATGCATTCCTGGGCTAAGTCCTTTCTTGGGCATGGCATAGATTTGTTTTTATGTGTTAATGGTTACAAATTGCTAATACTCTATGTAGGATTTTTACACCTGTGTTTATGAGGATTATTAGTTTGTAGTTCTCTTTGGTGTTAATAAGGGTACTGCTAACATCATAAAATGAATTGGCAATTGTCCCTCCTCTTGTGGTGTTTTGAAAGATTGTCTAGAATTGGTATCATTTTTTTTTTTTTTTTCTTAAATATTTGGTAGTTGTTGCCAATGAAACGATCTGAGTGTGGAGTTTTCTTTGAAGGGACCTTTTAACTACAAGTTCAACTTCTTGAATAGAGCAGTTTGGGTAATTTGCACTTTTCAAGGAATTGGTCCATTTTATTTAAATTGTTGGATTTATGGGTGCTGGTCTGTCTGTGGTGCTCTCTCAGGGTCTTTCAGTATCTGTTGGGCACCAGTGATCCAAACTTCTTCTGTACTGTTGTCATTGGGCCACTTCTGCCCTTTGTACTATAGTCTCTATATGCTCCTTGCAGGTTAACCTGCAACATGTGACTGTGGCTCTTGGTGCAGGTAATTGTGGTATGGGCCTTTGCCAGCGTCTGTTGGATATCTTTGGGCTTCTTAGTGTGTGTTCTTCTGCCATGTGTGTATCTGCCTCGGCTCTGTCAGGGAGGATCGTGGGTACACAGGTGGTCTTGCTCAGTCTGACCACAGGTCCACAGCCCAGGTGCCGACTGCTGGTTAGAGACTGGGTTATCAAAAGGCTGAAATGAGAGAGCCAGCCACCATGGATGGGTCGGCTGCCTGGCTAGCCACTAAGGTCTAGGGCCTGATGTCTTGGTGAATAACTTTCCCTGGAAACTGATCCATGCTGATGCAGATGCTCGTAAGTGGAGGTATCTTGTGGGGACCTGTTGGAAACTGTAGCCAAATGAGAGTAGGGAGATTTCTAGCTCACCAGAATCAGCAATTCCCTTTAGAAATGGCACCTTGCTTTCCTTGACTCAGTCACAGTCCGCTGAGAGAGGAACCCCTGCCTCCCTGCCCAGAGTAGTGTTCTTATAAGTGTTGTGTTCTTGTAAGAAGAGGGAGGGAAGTGGAGAGAGGGCTGGGTGGAGTTGGGAGTGATGCTAAAGAAAGCTTGGTGCTGCCAAAACCTGGGAAGGTCCAGAAAGAATCTCTCATAGAGGTTTCAAAGGGAATATGGCCTGCTGACACCTTGCTTTGGGACTTCTGGCCTCCAGAATTGTGAAAAAATAAATAAGCCACCCACTTGGTGGTACCTTGCTATGGCAACCCCAGAAGCCCGGCAATCCCCACCAGGGAGGTGGGCTGTGCTGAGTGAACTAGGCCACATCCTCCGTTCACAGAGGGCGGCTCAGCAGAGGCCCAAGTCTGGTTGAGGTCAACGCTGCCTCCTGGCTGCTGCCTGCCACTGTTGTGCAGAACTTCTCTTTTTTCCCCTCAACTGGTTAAGTGGTTTCCCATTAACCCTTTAGTTGTTCTGTTCTCTGGGCATAGCAGTTGGTCTCAGAGCTAGGACAGGATGACTCTGTGTTTGAAACAGGAGCCAGGCCAGGCCCTTCACAGCCTTCAGAGAGCTTGGCCTTTTTAGAGTGCATCTCTTTTGTCTGATTTACCTTTTGTCTTCTATAATCTCACTTATGATGATCTTCAAAATTTTTTTCTAAGGTTGTCTGTCTTTAGATTTCTAATTGATCAGACTCAGATTCAGAAAAGGCTCCCAGGCAGCACCAGGCTTTGCCACCCCGTTGTAGCATACTCTCCAACCTAGCACAGCACTGCTTGTCCTGTCTCAGAGGGGCCGCTGGACAATGAGGTGGGGGCGCAATGTGCTCTTCAAGGCAGTAAAGATGACAGGAAGCTTCTGGGGGAAGCAGACAGCATGGGGAACAGCTCCGTGAGGCCAGCAGGCTCGGTCCAGCACTTAGGAGTGGCTGCTTTGTTTTGTAGTATTTTAACCACATCAGTATCGAGGACTCACGGGTCTACGAGCTGACCAGCAAGGCCGGACTGTTGTCTCCCTATCAAATCCTTCACGAGTGCCTTAAAAGGTAGGGCGGGTGCTTCCCCTTCTGAGTAGGGTTGTGTGGGGGCTTTTCTTTTGGTGCCCAATGTCTTTACTAGCTGTTTATCCTGGTTCAAGAGGTGATGCTAAAGGCCAAGCCATTGCAAGTATTCCCTGTGTGCACAGGAGCCCCTGTGCCTGCTGGTCAGTCAGAGCCTGTGAGATCGGATCAGGAGAATCCCCTCCTTTTCAGCTGAGATGTGCGGTTTGGGGAAAGGGTTGGCATTGTCTTCATTGAGCCTTTAAAGCCTATCCTGAAGCTGTCATTTCTTCGTCCTCAGCTGATGGCACTGGTTGTCTATGTTTTTCCTTTAAGAAACCATGGAATGGGTGATACATCCATCAAGTTTGAAGTGGTTCCTGGTAAAAACCAGAAGAGTGAATATGTCATGGCGTGCGGCAAACACACAGTGCGCGGCTGGTGTAAGGACTGCCTCCCTCCTCCCTGTCACCCCACTGCAATTTCCCTTGACCACTGGGGAGGTTGCACACTGCCATGTGGCCTGTCTGGGAGCCCTGAGCCTCTGGGGCTTAGTCTCAGGCCACTACCCTGGCATCACTCCCAAGCTCCTGCCTTGTGTGCTGACCACCCGCAGTCCTCCGTGTCCACTGGCATCTCCTATCGACCTCTGTCTGAAAGCCTGTCAGTCTGAGGTGGGACTGTGGTAGTCCTGCCTGTACCAACCCTATCCTCCTAGTTCCTGGGCTTGGGCTGGTCACTTTGGCTAGGCCATGTTTTCCCCCTCCCTGCCACTAGTGCCCCATCCAGCCCATGGTCCCTGTGGCAGGAGGAGGGATGTCCTAGAATGGCAGCAGAGCCCTTGCCCTGCCCTACTCTGTGTCCCTGTGCTGGGTGATGTGCCTGCCCCATTTCTGGTCTTTGTGTACACCACCTGCAGTATTTACCAAATTTGGTTGGTTATTTATTTTTAACTTCTTTATTTAAAAAAATTTTTTTTATGTTTATTTTTGAGAGAGAGAGAGAGTGTGTGAGCAGGGGAGGGACAGAGAGAGAGGGAGACACAGAATCTGAAGACAGGCTCCAGGCTCTGAGCTAGCTGTCAACATAGAGCCTGATCCAGGACTCGAACTCACAAACCATGAGATCGTGACCTGAGCCAGTGGATGCTTAACTGGCTGAGCCACCCAGGCGCCCCACTGAATTTGGTTTTTGAAATAACTACATTTTATTTTATCTTATCTTTTAAATTTTTTTTTTTCAACGTTTATTTATTTTTGGGACAGAGAGAGACAGAGCATGAACGGGGGAGGGGCAGAGAGAGAGGGAGACACAGAATCGGAAACAGGCTCCAGGCTCCGAGGCATCAGCCCAGAGCCTGACGCGGGGCTCGAACTCACGGACCGCGAGATCGTGACCTGGCTGAAGTCGGACGCTTAACCGACTGCGCCACCCAGGCGCCCCAATTTTATCTTATCTTTTAATGTTTATTTTTGAGAGAGTGTGCCATGTATGAGTGGGGGGAAGGGCAGAGAAAGAGGGAGACAGAGAATCCCAAGCAGGCTTTGCACTGTCAGTGCAGAATCTGACGTGGGGCTCAAACTCACACACTGAGGTCATGACCTGAACTGAAATCAAGGGTCAGATGCTTAATTGACTGAGCCATCCAGGCACCCCTAAAGTAACCACTTCTGAAAACAACTTTATTTTAAAAGAAAACTTTGTATGACTACTATAAACACAAAACCAGTGCTATGTAAATTAGAAAGTAACACACAAGTTGGCCTTGGGAAAATCACAGAACTCACAGACCTGGGTGTCCCCTGTGATTCAGCAGATATTAGTCCTCACTGAGACACCTTCTGGAGCAGGCAGGTGTGGCATAGAAGGAGTGCTGGCACCACTGACCTCCCTATCTGGGAAGTGTGGCCACCTTGGTCTGTCTGGCCATAGGCATCTCCTGGCACTCAGACCCACTCTGCTCCCTGGCCCCACCTTCCCTCTGCATACATAGAAACTCCTCTTTCAGAGTTCATACACCCTCTGGAAACTCCTCTGGGCTTTCTGGCAGAGCCTGCCTCCCCTCTGCCTGTCCCCAAGGAGCCTTGGGCTATGTGCTTCATGGTACTCGTTTTGCTTGTCTGTATCTCTGGAAGTGTAGGGTGTGGTGGGAGGGAGGCCTTGTAAGTTATGACCTTGGGCCCATTCTGATTTTCTGAAGCCTTTGAGGGAGCTGTTCTGCTAAATGGGGTTAGGGTGGGTCCTGGTCTCAGCTTTGTAAGACTCCAGTGCCCACTGCAGTGGTGGAAAACGTCTGTACCCCCTCCTGTAGAACATGCCGTTTGCTGGGTGGGGGAATGGCAGGTGTGTCTCCTCTCTAGGCAAGGTGGCCATGTTGACAGCTGAATGTTCTAGTGACTCCCTCTCCACATTTCCTCTTCCTTCCTCACAGGTAAGAATAAGAGAGTTGGAAAACAGTTAGCCTCTCAGAAAATCCTTCAGCTGCTGCATCCACATGTCAAGAATTGGGGGTCTTTATTGCGCATGTATGGTCGCGAAAGCAGCAAGATGGTCAAGCAGGTAACCAGGCTCCTCCCCAGGACCTAGGGCAGCCTCTGTGCTTATCATCCTCCCTCCACCGTGGCACACCTGTTTGAGGTCCTGCTGTCACCGGAGATAGTGTTGGGCAGCTCTGCTCTTGTTCAAGGCTGCTTCTCAGGCGCTCTGCTGGGCCATGTCTGTGACCTTGGGGGTGGGAGGTGGTCATTCATGCTGTGTCTCCCTCCCTGAGGAGCCTGGGCCTGGCTCTGGCTGTGTGGGGTGAGCCTGCCCAGCAGGAGGTACAGGTGGTGAGTGCTGCCAGCCCCAGTGGAGAGGAAGCTTCTGAGCTGAGACCTGGTGTCTCCCCTTCCCCCACACCGGAACTGCAAGCCCTTGGATTAATTTGAGGACCCCTAGAAGCTTAAGGGAGAGTAAGAGATGCAGGCCACCTCTTCCTGCTTATGAACACCAGTTTTTTTTAACTAAACACCTGTGCACGTCATGTGTTTAGTTTCTGATGTTTTGCCGAGATCGAGAGATTTAAACCAGTACCCTTAGGTTTGTATGTTTTGTGGGGTGGAGGGAAGTCCTGGGAGGTGTTTACGTGTATTTTTACCCTGATGTTTCCAGAAATAGTCTGGGTTACCTGCATCCCAGTGAGGGGAGGGGTGGCCATGTGGCATCTAAGGAGGTGACACTGGGCCCCCAGGGTACTTAGAGAGGAACCTCCAGATATGTGTTGCTGAGAAAACTCCAATGACTGCAGATGAGGCTGATTTCTGCCTTCATGTGCCTTTACTTTTGTGCTGTATCTTGTTTGGGCTAAGATTGAGAAAAGCCTGCTTTGGCCTGTGAGTGGGAACTCTCCCTAAGTTGGAGGATGAGCGTCCAGTCTAGGCACAGCCTCAGCCTGTATCTTTTGGAGGACAGGTGGAGTCTGACACTCGAAGGCACGGCAGGCGGCCTCAGAGATGGCCTTTTCAGACAGGAAGGGCCTCAGGACAGCTTGATCCTGTTCTCAAAGTTGGAGGGTTTGCAGATATGCAGAGAGCGCAGTGTCTAGGGCTGATGGGCTCCCAGCTGGGCCCCAGTGCCAGGGTTTATCCCATCGGGCAGCATGCTGTCCCTGCTGGCGGAGGCCGTACTCTGATCGTTCCACTCTGAGGGTCTGGGCAGTACGAGTGCCCAGCCGATGGCAGGAGTGGAGGCAGCTGGGTGCCAGGATGCCTTTGCCCCATGAAGGGAAGAGGCTGTGGCTTCTGCCTGCTCAGGGTGAGGCAGAAGTGGGGGTAGTATGGTCAGAAAGTGAGCTGGGCAGCTGTGGACTGGTCTGCGTTCTCTGTGGCTGTGTCAGCTGCCAGGTGTGGGTTGGGAGTGCAGCTCTGGCTGCTGGCCGTAATATGTCTGTGGGGCTTGCCCCAGGCAGTCCTGAGAGCAAGGTGCTGTGCTCCCCAGGAGACCTCGGACAAAAGTGTGATTGAGCTGCAGCAATATGCCAAGAAGAACAAGCCAAACCTGCACATCCTGAGCAAACTACAGGAGGAGATGAAGAGGCTTGCTGAGGAGAGGGTGAGTGTGCAGGCCCGGCCAGCACCAAAGGCCCCTCCGCACCCTCATCCTCTTGCCCTCAAGGGAGGGGAGGGGCACCTAGCACAGCCACGTTGGCAGCTGTGGGAGGGAAGTCAGCCTCAACACTTCTAGGGTAGATGTGCTTTTCCTTGCGTTTCAGCATTCATGACATTTGCATCAGATCAATTCACTTTTTAGTTACATTATAGAACTCTCAGCCCTGGCCTGTGGTTGTGAAGGACCTGCCTTCTGGGTATTTCCACTCAGTACTCAGTTTGAAGGCAGGGACGTTATACCAGCCAGGCCTCCCATTCTCAGGGTCTTGTGGGACACAGACTACCATCCTGGGCCGCCTCTTCTTTGGGTCCTTGTCATTTCTGTGAGGGAGGAGCATGGTTCACACAACATTGAACCTGGGTAAGGCTCAGTCCCGATGAAGCTTCCTAAAACCACTTGCCTGAGGGTCTTCTAGGCTAGGACCTTGTGAAGCTGTGGTATTTGCCTGGAGGCCTATATAAAACCCTGGGGAGAGGGAGGTGGGGAATGAGAATCTGTTGTATGTTTGGCCTTTCTGGTCCAGGAGATACCTCAAGTTGGGGCGGGGAGAGAGAACCTGCCCTCAAGTTGGGATGGGGAGAGAGAACCACCTACGTGATTGTCCCTGGTGGCTGTAACTTCCTTGGCCCTTCACTTCTGGGTGTGTGGTCTGCTTCCCAGGGAAGCACCAGCACACAGTTCTCTGAGATGGCATCCAGGGAGACCCAGCCAGCCCCCTATCTGGTCCACTCCTCAGACCTTCCTTCCTTCTCATGTGGTGTAGTGCAAAGCAGTGGTGCCCTCCTACTCCAGAGGCTACCTGGTACCACTGTGCTGAGCTTGCCCCCTCACATATCCACCCTGCCTCAGGGGCCTCTTGCCTGAAGTTGCGCTTGGCCACATGTTCCTACTTTGTTGGCATCCCTGACCTTTGTTGTTCTTTCAGGAGGAGACACGAAAGAAACCCAAGATGTCTATTGTGGCGTCTGCCCAGCCTGGTGGCGAGCCCCTGTGCACTGTGGACGTATGAGGGAGGCAGCAGGGTCAGGCGCGGGGACTGCCAGCTCTGCTGCCAGGGAGACCTCACGCCACTCACTCTGCAGCCTCGGGCCTCCGATCTGAGTTCCTCCCCTGCGGCCAGGCTTCTGCCGTCAGGGCCAGAGGGGTGGGGCTCTGGTGCATGGGGACAACAGGGCCATGAAGCTCTTCCTTGGGGGCCGCCCACAGGTCTGAGTGGGCGTGTTCAAGGATGGACTCTGCTTGTCCACACAGGTGGAAGCCAAGAGCTTGACAATAACTGTGGATAACCTCTGCTTATGTGGACTTGCTGCAGACTGGTTTGATGAAGGTTTTCATGTGTGTCAGTACATAACATGCACTGACAAATGTCAGATAAAATGAGAAAGTGGTGGCAAAGTTCTGTGGTACCCTGTGCCCAGGGTTCCCGCAGACCACTGCAGGGACCTGGTCAGAAGGCGCACGCTGGGACCCCCATCCCCTTCCCTGCCTCTTGTGTTTTCCCTTTTTCTCTGAAAAGGTTACAACAGGAAGGAGTATTTCAGACCTTTTTGGTTTAAAATAAACACAATTTTAGAATCAGAACTATTTTTCAGAGATTGTAGGCAAACCCTCAAGGTGATTATTTGCCATCCTTGAAATGCATTGCCAGTGTATGCCTGGCTTGTTGCCCTGGTCCTGGGTTGGCGTGCGGTCCATTTTTCTGAGTAAGTCTTAATGTCCTAAAAACACGCCTTCTTAAGACACTGAGGCCCCTCACCTTCACTGGCCTCTGGCAACTTTTTACTAATGATTTTTGCACAGTCAAGTCCATCTGTCCACCCATCAATTTTTAAAGCTTTTATGAAATTTTAGCATTTGGAAAGAAACTTTTACAGTGAGAGTAGAAGGTAGATTTGGAGTCACGTAGCAGATATAAACAAGTTAATGCATTTTAGCACGGGGATTTTAAAAGAGGAAATAAGGACCCTCAGTGCAATCCATCCGTGATCACAAAGTGGCGCTCTTCTCCAGACCTGGCATAAACACATGGACGGTGGCTGTCTTCCCTGTGACAATGGCTTCACTGGATTTCAAGGGCAGTTGCCCTATGCATCCATCCAGGCCTGGTGGCCAGCCTGTTACTTTGACCAGCAGCCTGTGTTTTCCAAGTGGCTCCTGTGGACCAGTGCAGGGATAAGTGTGTTCCTGCCCTGAACCCCAGAGGATGTGGGTGTGCTTAGGGCCCTTGGTTGTCCCCATGTGCAAGGTACAGGTAGTCATCAGTTCCCTGTCACCAGGGCCTGCTCAGGGTGCTGTGTGCTCATGGTGCACTGTCAGCTGCAGGAGCCCAGTGCTGGGCTGCATTGTCACATTCCACGGGTGTGCCTGTTCTCCATCATGTCCCCCGTGGTTGGTATTGATGGCATTTGTTTTCAGGAAGACAATGTTGGGTCTTGTGTGCCACTCACAGTGTATCCCTCCCTTGCCACCTATGTGACTGAGGTTGGCTTCTGTGTTGACGTTTATAAACAAAACCTTTAAATCAAGTTGCTGTAATTAGACACTTGCTTCTGTCTTGCCTCCTGTCTGCAGCTGTGAATAATCATTTGACTGTGTTTGCTCTCAGAACAGCCAGATGCGCCATTGTGAACCAAAGCTTCGTGCACACGTTAATAGAGGCAGCGAGCTTTGCTGCAGCCTCCCCGTGTCATTCCTCTGTCCCTTCTATGTGGGTGTGAGTGTTGTGTGCACACAGCCATGCTGTGGCTGCAGAGGGCAGGTAGAGCCTGTACTGATGCCACCTCCATGTGGCCACTGCCTGTTGTGTATCTTTCAGGTGGTGGCTAAGCTGTGGCTTTAAGGGTGAGCCTTGATTGTCTGAATGCATAAAGCAAAACTGTCCCAAAAGGGAATGACTGGCGTTTGTTTCTTCTAACCATGTGAGGCTATGGGGCTTTGTGGACCCTCAGCTGGCCAGTATCCCCCTCTTTAGCCTGTCTCACAGGGCTGAGGCATTTGCCTGGGGACACTGCTTTTGCAACATCTGAGCAGTGTCCCAGCCTGGCCTTTGGTCATAACAGTGGCCTCCCTTCAGAGCTCAGGGCCAGATTGGGGATGGAACCTCCCCTCGGGGTGCAGGAAGAGTGGTGCAGCCTGCTGGGCTGACCTGTAGCAGATAGGCCTGGCCCCCTGCCATGTCTCCACCCCACATGCACAACTGGCTCTGAGCCATGAGCTCCCAGTTTCTTCTTCTCTTAAGGATAATAAGCAGGAGACCTGGCACTGTTGGCACACTTTCTGTGACTCCCGGCCATGTGGAGGGACTGGCAGCTGGGGGCTCAGACTTAGTCTTGGCAGGGTGCTCAAGGGGCCCTGCTGGCTTCTCCCCGCCCCCCCACCCGCAGTAGGGGATAAAGTAAGGGCAGGCCCCATCTGCCAACCTTGAATGCTCATCAGTCATGCCAGTAGTTCAGCAATGGTTTATTCTGACCCTGTGCCCCAGCTAGCCCAAAAGGAACTTGGGAAGAGGAGGGGGGGGGTGGTAGGGGACAAGAGCCTAGGGTCCATGGGGACAGGCTGACCCTGGTTGGGGCAGCTGTGTCTCATGCTCTCTAGGTGCTTGCCTGAGCATCCTGAGGTGAGGCAAGGACTTGGGGAGCCCCTTGGCTTCTGCCCCGGTGATGAAGACCGGGCCCTATTCTGAAAGGGCAAGTTTCTAGTGCTCCAGGGACCTAGGAAGAGGTGGAAGCCCCAGTTTCCTGCAGGGTATCATCTGGGGACCCTGGTGGGGGCTGGGCTGGAGGGTCCTGGGGCTCCAGGGCCCCTGTGCCATTGGGGTACTCCACCCTCTCAAACAGGATGAGCATCTCACAATGCGGGGTCTGCGGGAACAGGTCCACGGCCACAGCCTTGACAGGCCGGAAGGGAGTGCCCTTCACCCGATTAGATGGGGCCCTGCAGAGGCTGTGGTGAGAAAGGAGTGTCAAGATCAGCCACGTGAGTCTGGAAGGGGCTCCTGTGGAGGAGGGGGAGGTTGTGTGCAGGGCCCCAATCCACCCCAGATCCCCCCACCTCACACTCACTCGACAAAGTTGCCCATGGCTGCCCGGGGGTTGCAAGAGACGTACAGGAGCCGTTTGAGGTTCTCGGCTCTTCGGACAGCCAGGATCACTTTGGAATCTGAGGAGACCCAGATGGGATGGGCATCAGGTCTGAGGCTGCACAGCTTGGTGTGCCATCCCAACATCCCTGCCCACCATCTTCCCCTTAACAACCCCCAAATGGAGACCACTTACGCAGGCCAGCACGAGGAGGGTCCAGGATGGCAACGAGCTGCTGGGAGGCCAGTCTGCTCACCAGAGCGGGCACTAGGTCCTCGGCTCTCCCACAATGGAACTCAACATTGCTCAACTCTGGACATGGCATGACAGCCCTGTCAGGGGACAAAGGACACTCTCCCCCACAGGGCTTTGCCTGGTGTCCTGAAGTCCCTGGCCAGAGATGCATTAGGAAAGCCTGTTGTCTAGGGAGGCTGCTCACCTTCCCCCATCAGGCAGCCTCAGGCATCCTGGACGTGTTAAGTCCACGTAATAGGAGCCCTCCTGTACTCTCTGCCCTCACCCCACCCACCATGGGCCCTAAGAACCACCTGGTGGGTCCCAGGTGCTGTGCTGAGGGTATGCAGCAGAGGCATCTGCTGCCCACCTTTGTGGGGCACTGGCTCTCACCATTGTCTTGGGCATTCACCCGGGCATCTTCCACAGCCTCCTGGCACAGCTCAATTCCTACAACTCTCTTCACCTTCTGAAACCAGTAAAGGACAGACTCATGGCATTCTGACCCATCCTGGGGGTTCTTAGGGAAGGGAACAGCAGGAGGCATTTGGAGAGTGGAAGAGAATCTGGCAGACTACGGTTAACCTTAGTCTTCGGGCTGGGGATCACGGAGGATCATAAGGCAGGTGACAACATGGGTGGTGTGGGGAGGGTATCCACAGGCAGGGCAGGAGGGCTCACCGGGGCCAGTGCCAGGCCAATGGTGCCAGTGCCGCAGCACACGTCTAGCACTGTGCTCCCTGTGTCCAGCTGGGCCCAGTCCTGGATGACTGTGTAGAGCACCTCGGCTGCCGGGGTGTTCACCTGGAGGGTGAGCCGGCAGTGTCAAGGATGTCAGGGGAGCCCTGCTGCCCAAGTTGGCTTCCCCTCCTGCCCACCTCCCCCACTGCCCCATGCCAAGCACTTGCATTCCCTGGGCATCTTTCCCGCCTCTGTGGCCCAATTCCTGGCTCGCTCACTTTCTTCCTAGGTCTCCTGATCCTACCCGCCCCCCTACGTCTAACCATCAGGGAGCCAGAAGCCTAGTCCTCAGACTGACCCTCAATCCCATGAGGGTTGCCTGGCAACCTCAGTCTCCTAGCTTTAAAAGGCAACGATGCTGATATCACCACCCCTCGATCAATTATGAAGCTCTTTTCTGAGTACTAGAGCTCACACCAGAGCCCTGGCATTACTCCAGCTCCTGTTCTCACACCCCACATATGGCTCTCCAAGAGGGTTGTCAAAGAATCTAATGGCAAATGATCTTTCATCTACCTTACAATCCTTGTGGCTCCCCTGCCTGGACATTATCCCCAGGTCTCTTGCCAGGCTAATCCTTTGTCACTGCCCTAGCCCACTGTCTCCATCACATCTTGATATCATGTCAGGTCTCCCTCCATGTGTCCTCATGATCCTAAGAAATTTGGGGCTACCTGAAAGAAGGCATGAGGGGAGATCCGGAAGGTCAACCCCAGCAGGTCCTCGTGGATGCATCGGTCTCCAGCCACGTGCTCCAGGGGCAGGCCCTCCAGACTGGGAGTCTTTCTGTGGATGGTAGGGTAAGGTCCATCAGTATCACTAGCCCTTGCAGGGACCCACCCCATCCCTACCCAGGGTCCTCACCGCTGTCCCTCCTCTACAAAGTAGAGGCAGGTCACCCCAGTGGCCTTGCCTGGCCCTGCCATGAAGTGCTGTGCCAAGGAGGCCTTCAGCCCAGCCAGTTCCTCAGGGCTCAGCTTCTGGGTAAGCAGTAGAAAAGGCCTTGTAAAGTTGCATCACAACTCACTGTGGCCCAGACACCCTCCCCCAGCAGGGCCTCCTTGCCTGAGACCTGGGGGTGGAAGTAAACAATGGCCATGGCTTGGCCACGGCGGCTGGTGCGCACAGTCAGCTGCTTCCAGTGGCCTGAGTATGTCTCTGGGTTGTACGCTGAGTATGGAGTGGACCTGTGGTGGGAGCCATGAGCGGCCCTGAGTCCTCAATATCTGCCAACCAGGACTGGGCAAGCAGTCTCCCTGCTCTCCCCTTCAGCCCCACCCACCAGATCACAATCCCAGGATCCCCCAGGCAGGCCCTCTGCTCCCAGACCACCTCAGGACTTCTTGGGGCCCCTAGCCCAGCCATAAGCCCTCACCGGATGAACTCCTGGAAAGCCTTCACCACCTGCTTGGTGGCCCCAGGGATGTGCACGGTGTCAAAGGGGGCTGCCACAGCACATGTCCCGCCCTTGTACTTGCCAAGCCGACAGCCGACTGTGTTGTCCTCCCCGTCCACCCCGACGCCAACCAGAAACTCACACTTATTACGATATTCGGTCTGCAGGGAGGGTAGAGGGAGGCAGAGAGACATGCCTGACCTTACCCTGGCCATCCAGCACTTGTGAGTGGACAGAACAGCTCATCAAGTGAGAGATGGTGGTGAGCAAGAGGCTCTAGTTCCCCCACAGTGCCTGGCAGTCCAGGAGATGGGGCTGACAACAAGTAACAGTCATGTGAGAAATAGGAAAAATAAATACAAAGCATGAAAAGGGATGGCAAAGATAAGTGAGAAGAGCTCCTTTAAGAACATGAGGTGAGTTTCTGGCCACACCAGCCGGGCCTGACCTGCTGGGGTGATGGCCTAACCCCCTCCAGCGGGCAGCAGGCCTTGTTGTGCTTGTGCCTCTGTGAGAGCAGCCAGGGCAGCAGGGCGCGGTTGGTGCTCCCAATTTCCCTGCAGGATGAGGTGGGGCCAAGGTTGGACTCAGCCCGCTGCCCCTGCAACCCTCCCCAGCTACTCTCCAAATACCCAGGTCTTCTGGGCCCCTCCCTTGGGATCTCAGTGTCCCCACTGGTTACACATGGGTCTCAGTGGTTAGCTACCCAAGAGACCATGCAGGACCTAAGGATGTCTATACAGAACACGGGATGGCTGAACAAGCATACAGCTGAGCAAAGTTCCAGGGCCAAGAGGGTGATCACCCGCACTCACTTGGCGAGCTTCTGTAGCACCTGCTCGCACTCCAACCGCTTTCGCTCAAGCTGCTCAGCATAGGGCACGGTCCAAAGTGGGGTCACTACATCTGCGATGCATGTGGCCGTGGGCTCACCCTCATCCTCACGCCGCCTCTTTCTGGCCATGGGATCAGCCTTGGGTCGGGCCAAGCGCACGCTGAGTGGACGGCCCTTCCAGAGGGCACCGTGCAGCACGCGCAGGGCCTTGTCCCGCTCAGCGGCGCTACGGAATGTCACAAAGGCGCAGGGAGGTTGCCCAAAGAGTTTGGTCTTATGAGGCTGTAGGCCAAAGCGGCCCAGAAAGCGTCGGACATCACTGAAGCTGGCGTGGCGAGGCACATTCTGCAGCTCCAACTTGAAGATCTCCGAGGTAAACAAGTCGTCCCTGATGTAGCTGTAGAGCCCAGGCTGAGGTACAGACTCTGCAGCCACCCCAGCCCCACCTTCCTCCTCCTCCTCTTCCTCCTGAGGGGCTAGGGCTTCAGGGCTGCCCTGGGCACTGTTGCTGTCCTGGCTGCAGCCTTCCATGGGCACAGGGCCCTGTGTGGAGACAGGCAGGGGCTGGGCTGCGGGCTGCACCCTAGAACCTGAACGCCCCAGTTCGCTAGCCCCACATCCAGACCTCCATTAGTGCACCCTATGCCCAGCCTCACCCCCATTCCCTTCCCTCCTCTCCCAACTCACCTCCGATCCCACTTTTCTCCCAGGGGTTTCCCCCTCCGCCCCCATCTCCATCCCTTCCCACCCGGTCTCCCATCAGAATCTCCCTTCATTTTACTTCACTGTCGAGTTTATCACTCATCGTCCGCCCGTCCGCTGCCCGTACTGGGGGCTCCACGAGAGCTGCCTCCGCCACCTGGTCCTGGTCCTGGCAAAGGGAGGCAGGCGCTCAGAGGGCGGGTGCGACGCCGCGAGGTCTATCCCCGGCTCCACCCCGGACAAGGCGGGACTCGAACCCTCCGTGCTCAGGTTCGGGTCTCGGGCATGGGGTGTGCCGCCTGCCCGCCAGGGGCCTGCGCCGGCCGCTCACTTAGCCGGCCGCTCTCCCGCCGCCAGCGAGTGCAGCCGAGGCCGCGCGTCTCTATCATCCTGGCTTCCGGTGACATCATCACCACGCGTCACCTCCTACCCCCAGCCCTTTTCTCGTGCTCGAGGGGCACGCGCTGCGGTGGGGCGGAAGCGCGCGCGAGGGCCGCCGGGAGTACCCACTCCCCTGGCTGCCGGGCGGGCCGGGCATGCGCCGCGGGCGTTTTGGCGGGAAGCGCGGGGCGGGCTGGACAATGAGAATGTCCGCCGTGTGAGCCAATAAAGCTGCACTGGTTTTGAATCGCGTCGCGTTTCCCGCCGCCGGGGTCAGGGGTCGGGGTTCGGGTCGCGGGGCGGAGGGAAGAGCGGGAGGGCGGGAGGCGCCGGCGCCAGACGCGGAGGAAAGGAGCCACGACTAGCCGCCGAGAGGCCGCGGAGCCAGCGACGACCGAGCCAGCCGAGCCGCCGCCGCCGCGTCCCCATGGCGGCCGCCAAGGTGCGGCCGGGCTCGGGTGGGGACTGGGCGGGGGCCGGGAGGCCGAGGCCGCTATCGGCGGCCACGTGGGCGGCCCGCGCCGCCGTTGCCAACCCCCGCTGGCCTGTGGGCTTGGCTCCTGTGGGGCCTCGGTGGCGCGGGGTCGGAACTTTGGGGAGCGCGGCCTGGGGGCTCGAGGCCTTCGGAGCCAGGTCGCACGATGGCTCCGCGGGCTCGGGGGCTGCCTGGCGCCCGCGTGACCTTGGGGCGGTCCCAAGTGGGGCCGGGAAGCTCCATCCAGGCGTGGGGCGGCCCGCCGCCCCGACTCCTCGGTCTCGAGTTTACTTCGCCGCTCGCCTGAGAAGTGGGGCGGGTGGCGGGTTTCCCCTGGCTCGGCCCACTTGCAGGCTTCCCACCAAAACCGTGCGTCCCTTCCTCCCGTCGCCTACGCAGTACTTCATTCATTCTGTTCTCACGTCTTGAGCCGCCACAGGCCTCTGTGGCAGAAACTCACGTTTCAGCGGGGTGGACGGGTCCTGGTCGAACCGACCCAGAGTGGGGGTGGCTTTGTTGACCGAGGGCATCTGCTCGGGTGAGCTGACCCTGGTGGAGCCGCAGTGCTTATCCAACCAAGGAAAGCAATGAAAGCTTCTATATTTTCCTTTTTTGGCTCGAGTCTGGTAGGGAGGTCTCCCAGCTTACGGATTTATAAATCATCAAGCCACGTGTTCTGTGAGACTTGAACCTCAAATATGATTCTTTGTGCCCTGTAGTTTAATAAATTGCATCAGAATCTTAGGGCTCATTGTACGATTTCTGTTGACACATCAACTTTCTGATTTAAGATCAAATTGCCGACAGAACTGTGAATTGCGTGTAAGCACTAGCCATCCTGTAGCGACCTTTTTCCTTTCTGCTAAGCAAGAGCACAGATTTTTCTCAACCAGTAAAAACCCAAATGGTTGCTTTTTGATTAAAGGGTGACAACTCTACTTGAGACCCTCTTCTGTCATTGCATCTTTTAATCATTTGCCCTTGTGATTATCCACATTTTACAGATGAGGAAACTGAGGTTCAAGTGATGAGGCAGTTTCTCATCTGCCAGTAGGTGGCTCAATTTAGGAGCCCCAGTATGTGCACAGATGTGATTGATGCATCTGGGGAGGGTGCTGAAATTCAGCATCTTGTTGCACTCTGTGCGTGCAAACCCTTATGTGAAAGACTGTGGGCTTAATCTCTTGTTTGGGGATGAGGCCGTTCACTAGGAGGGGTGCCCACTGCTGAGCTCTGGGTGAGGGGCACGCTCTGGCGCCAGCAGAGTCACCTCTCTGCACCTCACTCCACAGGACACCCATGAGGACCATGACACCTCCACCGAGAATGCAGATGAGTCCAACCATGACCCCCAGTTTGAGCCTATAGTTTCTCTTCCTGAGCAAGAAATTAAAACGCTGGAAGAAGATGAAGAAGAGCTTTTTAAAATGTAAGTAAGCTCATGTTGCTCCAGAAACCTGTATCTTTTTTTTTTTTTTATGTTTATTTGTTTTTTGAGGGACAGAGTGTGAGCAGGGGAGGGGCAGAGAGAGAGGCAGACAGAATTTGAAGCAGGCTCCAGGCTCAGAGGTGTCAGCACAGAGCCCGACGCAGGGTTCGAACCCATGAACCATGAGATCATGACCTGAGTCAAAGTTGGAGGCTTAACCAACTGAGCCACCCAGGCATCCTGAGAAACATGTATCTTTTAATGTAAGATTGAAGTTACAGTTTTTACAGGTGTCAAGGTCTTGGCCTGACCTTAAATAGGACTGGGGCTGAAGAAAGGGCTTGGAATTGTATGATGACTAATCCTACGTGGAAAATCAGGGCTGCTGTTAGAATCTACTCTTTGGATAACTCTTCACTGGGTGCCCCTGTTTCCCGGCGGCCAGTGCTGTGGAGAGCACAGGTGCTCCCTGGTGTCCTGTCCCTGCTGCTCTGCCCACCAAGGTGCATCTCCACAGCCTCCTGTTCATGTCACCTTACAGGCTTGCTACCTCCCAAACTCCCATGGCCCCCTTCTTCTGGTTGAATAGGGAGTCTCTACCATTATTAATATTATTTTTCTTTTGCATGCCAGACTTTGGCATCCTGAAGTTTGTGAACTCCCAATTCAGCGTTTTTAATGCACAAAATAATGCCTGGAATTACAAAAGAAAATGGATGTGTTATGCTTATCGAGATTACTTTCTAAATATTATCCTGCATGTGTTTGACACCTTCAGTGTGAGGCTATGACGGCATGTGTCGTTTTTAAGTAGTACTGGCACCAGCCATGTGTTGAGATGTCTGCGACAAAATCCACACTGCTGAGACTGACCCGTTGTCTGTACTCAGAATCACAGGAAACGTTAGACTCAGTCACAAGTTAATGGAAACAGGCTGGAGCGTTTTTCCTGTCCAAGTGGAGTTCCTCCACCGTCTTCAGATTCTAACTAAGAAGCCAGATGAGGATTTGAGTGCTTTGCTGTGAGTGGGGGGCAGGGAACAGTGATCCCTCCCTCTAAGGAAGGCAGACTGGGGAGACCAGCCCTTTCCCACCACCCCCAAAGGCCTGGGGAAGGAGAGTCATATACATCCTCTTGGTCTCAGAGTGGTAGGTGAGTCCCTGAAGATACTGGTTTTCCACGTCTCTGGTTTGCCCGGAAATGGTGCTGCAGCCAGGGGCTGGCTCCTCCCAGCAGCTGGTGCTGCTGTTCTTACCCTCTTCAGCCCTCACAGGGCCGAGAACTGCTTTCAGTGTCCTGGACACAGGCCTTTCCTGAGGGAAGTGAGGCCAGCAGGTCAGGCCTTTGCGTCTGGGCCCTTGGGCTCCAGGTGAAAGCTCTGCGGGCATCCTTGTGAGGGCACTGTCTCCTGTAACGGAATTGAGTTTGGGAGAGAGAGCAGAGTGTGGTGCAGGAAATGGACCAGCAAGGCTGGGGTCCTGTGGGTAAGGAAATGGAGGACATCAGCCTGAAGTCCTAAAGGCAGGACTGCTGGGCTCACCATGGGAGCCCATCTGGGTGGGAGCCTTGGCTGGGCCCAGTGTGAGGTGCTATTCAGAGCAAAAAGGCAAGACGTTGGGCCAGAGCCTCGTGGCCTGAACAGAGAGGTCTGCAGAGGTCTCTCTGGGTTGGGGGGCCTGGGAAGCACAGGGTGCATCTCACAGCAGAGGGAAGGGCTGGCCCTGTGGAGGGCAGGGGTCCTCAACCTCCATCTGCTTCCTTGCTACCCTCTGCAGCCCTATGGGACACCAGGGGCTCCCCTGCACTACGATCACAGGCAAGCCCAGCATATTCAGGAGGTGTCTTTGTTGAGAAGTTGTGTCTTTCTGTTGGGAAGTTCTGTGGTTGTTGTACTCGATTCGGCAGCACATATACTAAAATTGGAAAGTTCTGTGGTTGTAGAAATCCCTTTTCTTTTTCACTTCATTATTCCAAGTAAATACTAGGAATGTTGTTTTGCTTTTTTGGTAATTTTTTGACTTAATCGTCCTAGAAGTACAAAGAAAGGGAGGGGTGTCCGTGGAGACGCCAGGTACAGGAAATAAGTGTTGTTTGCCAGCAAACGTTTGACTGTTTATTCTGTCTTCACACACATTTAAGCTCTCTTGTAATGGCTTTTCTTGAAGGCGGGCAAAGCTATTCCGATTTGCTTCAGAGAACGATCTCCCAGAATGGAAGGAACGAGGCACAGGTGATGTCAAGCTTCTGAAGCATAAGGAGAAAGGGACCATCCGCCTCCTCATGAGGAGGGACAAGACCCTGAAGATATGCGCCAACCACTACAGTAGGTGGCCTCTTGGGAGTGTGTTTTCACTCTAAGTTCCAGCGCTGCACATGAGGATACCTTCAGATCTTTGGGCAGGTTGCTTTCAGTGCTGGGCTAGGAATCTGGGAGTGCATTATGACATAGAGTGCATATTTGCAGTGTGTTTTGAACTTAAAATAGGAAATGAAGTTTTCCAGCATGCTCTGAACTCAGAGCAGACCTGCAGAGAAGCTTATAGCACACAAGATGTGGAGCCCAAGCAGACAGGACATGATGGGGTGGAAGCAGAGCCCCAGTGTGGGCTTAGGTCCGTGGAGCACCTGCCCAAGGGTTGGGCAGTGCTGTGAGGATGTGTGCTCCCATTTGTATTTTGATGTGCCCAGTAGGCAGCCTTCCCACTCTTTGGTGTGTTCTGTCCCTGCCGGGTGTTCCCTGGTGAGAACACAGAGGGGAAGGGCTGCAGAGAGAAGGTGGCTGCCTCATCTTTAGGTGTCTGTGAGACCAAACAGATAGTGGGTGGTGACAGGTTGAGGCCCTTGAACACGTGTGATGCATTAACCCTGGGCTCAACATGGTTGGGGGATGGGAGGGTCTGGGGAAAGCCACACCAGGCCTGGCCTGTGAAGGGGTGACAGTGAGTCCCCGCCATATCAGTCTTTTGGCTGCTAGGTTGTTCTGCAGTGCTATGTGTGTTTGGAAGTAGATGTGTCTTGGGCTCCATTCCTGATCTGGTGCCGTGTCTGTGTTACTGGGTAGAATGCATGTCTGGCAAGGGAGGGCCTCTCTTCTGGACACCTGGGGTGACCTGGCAGGAACCTGAGCAGAGCAGCTCTTGAGGGTGATGTGGAAGGATGGGCGGGTTTGCAGAAATCCTCCTGAGAGGTGGCAGGGAGGGGCTTTCTTGCCTTCCTTAGGGGCCATTCTGGTAGTCCTCTTGTGTCTCTCCCTCTTCCCCCACCTGTCTGCTCTGGCCCCTGGCCTCCACTCCAATTTGAATCGCTCCCCAGGGGACTTCCTGACACCCTATGTTTCTTCAGGAGCCTTGTCAGATCACTGGGTTGTTTCTGAGTTGCAGGTGTGTTTTGGGACCCCTACATACCATAGACCCTTAATGTGCTAGGTGGGTGGTGGCAGCAGGAGGCCATGGCATCTCTGTGCTCTGTAGAGGTCAAGGGCTCGCCAGGTGTCTGCATGGGGATGGTGTGACTGTTCCCGGTTCAGGCAGTCAATATATGCTCAGGTCCCTGGAGACCTCTGCCAGGGGCACAGGGGTGCACAAGTGTGCTCTTGTTCTTTTTTTTTTTTTTTTTTTTTTTTTTTTTTTTTTTTTTTTTTTTTTTTCAACGTTTATTTATTTTTGGGACAGAGAGAGACAGAGCATGAACGGGGGAGGGGCAGAGAGAGAGGGAGACACAGAATCGGAAACAGGCTCCAGGCTCTGAGCCATCAGCCCACAGCCCGACGCGGGGCTCGAACTCACGGACCACGAGATCGTGACCTGGCTGAAGTCGGACGCTTAACCGACTGCGCCACCCAGGCGCCCCTAGTGTGCTCTTGTTCTTTGCGCAGTCAGTTTCTCCTTTTGGGTCTGTGCAGAGCGTGAGGACATGGGTGTATCTGCTTATTCCAGATTCCTACTTATTCCAGATTCCTACTTATTCCATGGTGTATGTGCATGTCACCAGGGCCCATGGTGTCTACTTGTGGTGGCCTTGTCTCCTAGGGACCCTGGCAAGTGCAAAGCTGACTCCATGTCCTCCTGGATGATTACCCCACTTATGGCTTCTGTCCCCCACTTCCCAATGGGCCAGCTACCTGATGGTGTGGTTGAGCAAGGACATAGCTACATGATGGGTGCTCCACAGGAAGGGCTGGGCATGAGTGGCTCTGTTGGCATTGGAGCCCTTGTTCCAGTGGGATTGGAGATCCTTTCTGAGGTGTTCTCCTCGTCAGGGAGCAGGTCACCCTGTTCCCAGATTTAGGACAGTCCTGTGGTTTTTTTTTTTTTTTTCAATGTTTGTTTATTTTTGAGAGAGAGAAAGAGACAGCGCGTGAGCAGGGGAGGGGCAGAGAGAGAGGGATACACAGAATCAGAAGCAGGCTCCAGCCTCTGAGCTGTCAGCACAGAGCCCGATGTGGGACTCGAACTCACAAGCCTTCGAGCTGTGAGATCATGACCTGAGCCAAACTGGGCCGCTTAACTGACTGAGCCACCCAGGCACTCCAGGACAGTCCTGGTTTTAAGTGAACATGGGACATTTTCAAAGAGGTTTGAGTAAGATCCTGTATCCCACAGGAGTTTGTCTAGGCCTGGTTGGTGGACCCCAAGGCGGGACCTCCTGTTGCCCGGGGTGGTCTCGTAGCAGTTGTCAGGATCCTCACATGGCTCTTCTTCCCCAGTCACGCCAATGATGGAGCTGAAGCCGAACGCAGGCAGCGACCGTGCCTGGGTCTGGAACACCCACGCCGACTTTGCCGATGAGTGCCCCAAGCCAGAGCTGCTGGCCATCCGCTTCCTAAATGCTGAAAGTAAGCAGAAGAGCCACCAGGCCCTTGGGTACTGCTTTTCAGGAAGAACTGATAGTGCCTGTGAGAAGCTTGTGGGAGGGACCAGTCTCACTCTGCTGTCTGGTGCTCTCTCAGGGGCAGGAATGTGAGTGCTGCAGTCGACCTGTGTACCCTCGAGGCTTCATGTGGGCTCTGATGAGAGCAGTGCCTTTTCCCTTTTAACCTGAAAGGGAGCTGGGCATCCAGTCTACCCAGGGCAGGCATGTCCCTTCGCAGCCACCTGACTGCCAGCAGGTGCTGGGATCCCAGGCCCATGGTGACCTCTCCCCAGCTTGGATGTCTTTTCCAGCCCTGATTGTCAGAAGTGCCCAGTGGGCCTCATCTAGTAGCTACTCTGACATGAGTGGAGAGCAGAGTGTCTGGCCAGGAGGCTCCTGACCCCTTGGTTTTACATGGCCACCAGTGCTGTGTACCATTCTGCCCAAATTGTCACAGAGTCAGGTGGAGGGAGATGGGCCAACCTAGCTACCAGTCCCTGGAGGGACTTGAGAAACAGTCACTGCTTGGTCCAGGCAAGAGTGAGCCCAGGGCTGTGTCCTTAAGTCACCCATGGGACGAGCCCTTTGTGAATCTTGGCTCTTCAGACCTTTTAGGGCTCTTAGGAGGTCTCTTCTCTTCTTTCTGCAGATGCACAGAAATTTAAAACAAAGTTTGAAGAATGCAGGAAAGAGATCGAAGAGAGAGAAAAGAAAGGTGACGTGGAGTTGGGGGTGGGGACTGCCTCGCAGACTCACTCTGCACCTGGCTGCAGCCCCAGGCGGGTGCTTTTTCCGTCTGCCAGAGTAACATCCCAGGGTGCTGTGACCACCTTGACCTGTCATGGGTGATGCAGTTGTCTGGGGACACGGTGCTTCTGGGGAGTGAGGTAGCCATAGACGCCCCAAGCATGTGCTCACTGGCCTGGCCTCACAGCACCCAGACTAGCCGTCAAGTAAAATGACGTCTGGCTAGAGCCCACCAGAGGCCAAAGGGGCTTCAAGAGGTCCTCACAGTCACTTGCTTACTTGGGGCCCGACCAAGTACTGAGCTGCCTGACCATCGTCCTAGGTGTGAGCTCTTAATTTGGGTGACCCTGGAGGCTGCCTTGGCTGGCACATGGTGAAGTGGCCTGCCCTGTGGCCTTCGCCCAGGGTCACAGGAGGTGGGTGGGCTGGGAAGAGTGGTGCTTCTCAGTTTTCTTACTGTGTCCCCCTATGTCTTAGCAGGGTCAGGCAAAAACGACAATGCTGAGAAGGTGGCCGAGAAGCTAGAAGCTCTCTCGGTGAAGGAGAACAAGGAGTCGGAAGACGCCGAGACCAAGGATAGAGCGGAGGAGGAGCAATAAGCCGCCTTCCCTTGTTTTCTCTTCCTTCCATTCTTTTCCTCTTTTTTCTTTTTTAAAATTTTGCTCTGCCCCTTCTTTTCAGTTTGTTTTTATTCTGTTTTGTTTTTACAAGGGACTTTATATAAAGAACTGAATTCCAACATTCAGGTGGTTTTTTTCTAAGTTTTTGCCCTATTGAAGATGACTTCAGAAAATCCATTCCCCAGTCATGAAAATGTACTGTGCTAACTTTCTTTTCCATAGTGGAAACACTTATTTATAGTCATCAAAAATAGTGAATAAACAACACATTTGAAACCTGCGCGGAGGCAGGACCATGTGTGCGCCGGCCCTGTCCTGGGAGCAGTGTGGGTTCCTGCTGGCTCCAGGATGTTGGAGCAGCGCTGCGGGTCTCACTCATCGCCTCTGGCTCTGCTGTGGGCTCAGCGCAGCTGTTGGTCCCTGGGGCCATGATGCAGCTGAGGTGGGGCAGGTGTGCTGGTTGGGGGGGGGACTCATGCGCTTCTGCCCTGTGGCAAGGAATAGGCTTTTTTGTTGTTGTTTTGCCTCTGAGGTAGGGAAAGGAAGACTGCCAGAGTACCCTGGCCTTTGGTGCAAGACGGCCAAGTGTGTTTCCAGGCTTTGGTTGAGGCCGCGTTTGGTTGGCCCTCTGCCCTGGTGGAGGGAGAAGCCAGTCCCATAGCACACATGTCCAGTCTGGTGCACTGTGTTGGTGGGACTCGGCCCCACAGCCCTTGTTGGACAGCTCACTGCCATCGTTGGAGAGAATTGTCTTACCCGCTCACTCAACGGTGTCTCCATCTGGGTGCAATTTTGGACATCTGCAGTAGCTTTAAATAAAGGGACGTTTTCAAGAATGCAAATGGGTTAGTGCCATTTAGGGGTTTGTCTTATAAAACAAATGGTCTCTAAACATTATCTTAAGTGGGAGAAAGGCTTTTCAGTGCACCAGCAGGCTTTTCAAAAGCATATGTGGTAAAGGGTCCCAGGAGACCGCCTGGGTTATGAAGTGTGGCCATACTGCCCTCCAGTGGGGGAGGAGCAAGTTAGGACTGGGCTCTGGAGTGGATGCACTCTCACTCAGCTATTGGTCATTAACACCTGCTAGAGGTGCTTTACATTGTGGCCAGTCTTTTAGCTGTGTCCTGTTCTGTCCAACTTCCCAGTGTGTCCTGTGACCTGTCTGATTCCAAACCTTGGATCCTTGTTCCCTCTGGGGGATGCACCTCCAAAGGAAGCTGCTCTTTTTTTGAAAGCCAAACAAAACTTTGCTGGTCAGCATTGTGTTCTGGCAGCCTTGGGCCTCTAGAGGTACAGGAGTGGATGCTCTTGAAGCCGGTGTTGGCACAGAGGTCCTTCCCGCCAAGGAAGGACATTGAAGCTTGTGAAATGCACCTTGCTTATCTTGAATTGGAATTTTGATGTTGTAAAGGACAGGTGTTGCTTCTGTATGGGCCTCTGTTGGAAGCACTGATGTGTGTAAGTCTGCCCAGGGCTTAATCCTTCAGGGAAGGGCAGTCAGACATCCCTTTCAGCACAGAATGGTTGTTTAATAGTCTTTGCTTTGGGCTCCAAAACAAGATAAATCCCACTTGATGTAAAACCACAGGCTGACTTCTTTCCTCTTGGGTGATGAATTGTGTCTCCAAGGGGTTAAAACCCTGACAACGGGGTAGGCCCCTCAGAATGGCTGGGGAACAGAGCTGTGCTGTGACCAGGCTACATTAACGGGGTGCATTTAAAGGTGTGGCTTGCTAAAAAATAAAATAAAAACTAAAGGTGTGGCTTGCTGACAATGCAGAATGTGCTGCAGAAAGGGAGACATGCAGTCCTGACAGTGGGTCTCACCAGTGAGCAGG